AAATATACAACTTAAGATGTCATAATCTCTGAAATTCCTTACCAAATAAATGGTTTTCTTACTTATATGGATTTAGGGAAGGAAAGGGGCAGGGGAATTAATGAGTATAAAAATATGTGGAGAGATGGAAAATAATACAAGTAAATGACTACTATGTTATTTGGAAAAAATAATAACTCTTTCCTTTTTTTTTAAGTGGATATTTATTTTTAGTATATAGAGGTTAATAAAATGTTTTTTTTTAAAAAAATATAAAGGCCCATAAAATTTAAGGAAGCAAAATTGCTTCTGTTGGATCCAATTTCTTGGCTTTCCCCAATCATAGTTTGATGGATGATTGTGTAGCTATTTTTCCTGAGGATATAGTGAAGGATATTTTGCTGAGGTGTCTTGTCAAGTCGTTGTTACGATTCAAATATGCCTGTAGACGCTCTTATCAAAACCCCTAAATTCATTCAACTACACTTAGAAGAAGAATCATTGCCCCCTACAACTCCTAATTTATGATAATGGTGACATTGATGATGATTCCTGTCCCATGACTTTGATTTCTAAAGAAAAATCCCAAACGTTCCTAGGTATGAAATACCTCATAGGTTATGTGGACGGCTTGTTCTTAATGTACAGAGAAATTAATAGAGCCATTTCGTGTGCGTTGTGGAATCCTGCTACTAGGGAGGTGAGACCCCTCCATCTCCCTGCACCCATAATCAATGATTCCCCTAACTTCGGTTTGGGAATAGACCCCTTGACTAATGACTATAAAGTGGTTTAGTTTCTTGACTATGCAACAACAGTCTATTCCTGTCGTAGGGACTCATGGAGAATTTCAAAAAATTGAAGGTTTCGACAAACCACCCCCATTTGACAAAGAGGTGAGACACACATATGGTACTGCTTATTTGAATGTAGTTTATTACTGGCCGCTAAGTTAGCAACCAATAATAAGCTCCATTTAAATAAGCAGTACCAAATGTATGGTTCACGTCTGTAAAGAAGGGGATTTCAGGTTTGAAAATTCCCCATGACTCCCTAGAACATGAATAAACCGATGCATAATATTCACACAAATAATTAATATGAAAGTAAACCACTCTATAATCATTAGTTGAGAGGTCCAATCCAAACCCAAACACAGGGGCATCATGGATTGTGGCTACATGGATAGGGAGATGGAGGGGTTTCACCTCCGTAGTTGCAAGGATTCGATAATGCACATGAAACATCATAATCAATTGCTCCAACCATAAAAAACAAGCCGTCCACAGAACCTAAGAGATGTTTCATACCTATGAACGTTTGTGATTTTTCTTCAGAAATCAAAGTTATGGAACGGAAATCATCATGACTTCCGGCTTATTATTGAAATTCATTTTTCACCGAAAAATCTGTAAGCTGATTTTCCTAACACAATTTTTTTCATATTTATAGCTAGCTAGTCCTTTCTCTTAATAAAAAAATATTTTATCTGGATATGAGAGAAACAAGAGAAATTAATCCGATTTCCAACACAAACATTGATATATATATATATATATATATATTACTAATATTTCATTTTTATTTAAAACATATAACTT